ACTTCCTTAGTGGTTTTCAGCACAATAGAAAACTCCTTTGAATTAGTTAGACACAAAATATACATCACCAACTCTAAACTATTTTATTCTATACAGCTACTCTGAATCTACTCAATAACTACCACCAAAGTCATATATTAATGTCATAATCATTACCAATTGTTTCAAAAAGTGTCATCAAATATCCCACATTTTTTCTTTTTTTTTCTCACTTACAGGTTGATACTCATGGAAAGTTCAAGGTTGAAACTCTAAATTAGATTATTGGCTTCTTGCAAGGTGGCCAAGGAAGGAGAGAAATTCGGGCTGCCTTCCTAAGAGGTGTGTGCTTCTTGCGCTCACTCACCTGTAGATGGGGCTGTCTTCCTTGCTGGGAATGCAATTTAGGTCTGTGAGTTCCAGGAACCGGTCATGGAAATAGTGAAGGTGTAAAATGCACACCAGCAGAAAGGAGGTTGGGATGAATATGCGAGTGAATAGTTCAGCCATGCCGAACTGCTTTAAGCCGAGATCCTCAAGCCTGCGGGGGGTTGTGGGGGTTGTGGGGAGAGAAACAAGACCCTTTCTTAGGCAATGAAGACACAGTCTTTTTACTGTAAATGACACCTTCGTCAGGTGTCCAGCAGTCCAATTTACCAGCTTTCACAGTGGACAATAACAACCTTGATGTTGCCAAATTCAGTGACTGCTTCTCTGTCTTTGTTTAATTTTGCCTCTATTCCTTCTTGAAACAACCCCGGTCTTCATGCCCCCACACTGTCCTGGTTTCCCTCTCCTGTCACCACCTCCTGCTTTTCCATTGAACCTCCAGATGCTGAAATCCCCCAGGGCTCAGTACTGAGTCCTCCTGGAGCTTAGTTTCCCTAGAAAATACAATCTCCTCCTGGGGATTTAAATATCATCTTTACATCATTGACTCAGATGTGCATTTAAAACGCAGGCTTTTTCTGTGGACTCTCACTCTCATACCAAAATGTCTACTGGAAGTTGGTTGTTTCATAGATATTTCATACTTTGTGTTTTGAGAACAGTATTCTTAACTTCCCTATTTTCCTCAGCCAAGCTGTTCTCTACCTCTCTCACCACTCGAGTCTCCTCTGGTAAATCCGTCTAACTTGTGCCAAATTCCAAAGTCAGGAAGTCTTCCTTGATTCTTTTTTTTTCTTAAATCTCATTCATCCACTTTGCCTTCACTGCCTGCCTGAACATCTCCTGAACCTGCACTTCTGCTGTCCATCTCCACCGCCACCGATTCTGGGTGAAGCCACCATCGTGTCTCACAGGTTCACTGCTATTGCTCACTGAGCAGTCTTCTTGTTTTTCTCCTCATGCCTCCTGACACATCACTTTTTCTCAGTCAGGTGCTTTAAAGACTTTTTAAAATTGCACCAAGAACGAAATACCAACCAGTACTACCGAGAAGTCATGTTCGTCCTGGGTGCCTGGTTGAACTCTCCCACCTCTTCTCCTCTTCTCCTTCTACTCTCCACCCCCTTGCTCCTGGCGGAGAGCCTTCCTTCAGTTCCTCATATGTGCCGATTTCTGTCCAGCCTTTTGCATTTGCTGTTCTCTTTGCCTGGGATGCTCTTGAGCATCTCAGATCTCAACTCACGCATTTTTTTCTAAAGACAAGCTCCTTCTTATATTTCAGGTGGGACTTTAGTGACACCTCCTCAGTGCAGCCTGCCCTGACCACTTCATTTATGTTTGGAATCCCTCATTGTTCACTACCTCAGCCTGTTTTTGTTTCCTTTACAGACTTGTCACAATTTATAATTAATTTATACATTAAGTCTCTCTTTGGTTTGTCTCCTCTACTAGAATATAAACTGTAAAGGGCTTAGATTCTGTCTGTCTTGCTTCCTGTTGTATTCCCAGGCACAGAACAGTGTCTGGCACATGGAGGGCATTCAATAAATATTTGTTGAATACATATTAAATATGTGTTAGTCTAGCTGCTTGGTGATCCTTTTCATCTCTTCTCTTAGCCACCAAAGTATATTTACTCTATGCCCAATTCTGGTTGGATTTCTAAACTAATTTCAGTTATTTAAAGAAGCAAACTAGAAAAGGATAGAGTACCATCTATTACACACGCAAGGAAAATCATTTCATAACCACTAGTCTATAAGCACTTAAATAATTTTTCCCTGTGTCATCGACTGCTCTTTATAATCATGGCACAAGCTACACGAGTGAGGAGAGGCTGCTGCTTTATATGGTGAGTCCATGAACTACTGATGAACTGAAGAGCTGAGCTTCCATTTGGAAACCAGAAAACATGACTGGTTAAGTACTAAACAGGTGTGTTTCACATAAAACTGATTTTAGAAAATGTCATTTCATTAAAATAGAGCTGAAAATTCACTTTCGGTCAATTCACTTTTCAGTCAATATTCACAGAGTCCTTTTTATGTGCCAAGATCAGGATTAGATGGAGAGAACACAAATGAATAAGACACAAATCATGTTCTGAAGAAACTTATAGACATTAACTATACCAGGTTTTACTAAAATCTTCCATAAAAGTGTTTTGAACAATATGCTTTCAAGTCTTAATCCTGCTTGTCACTTTTACATTCCTTCATACACCAAAATTGCTTACTTTTCTCTTTTCAATCCAGTCATATTTTGCCACAGGCCTGGGAAGTTTTCAAACTGATATGTGTATATAAAGATAAGCACCAGCATAGTGTAAATAACCACAGACATCCAAAAATATTTTAGAATTCTTCTCCACCATTCATAGTGCACCTGTGAATCAGTCATTGAAAAACAAACAAAAAACTGGTTATAGAAAAATTCACAAAAAATATCCAGTTTATTCAACTAAGACAGATGATGATATTTACAAATACTTGAAAATAAAGTATAAGTTCTGTTCCTCATGGAGTTGAATGGATCTGGATTGGAATCTCGGTAGCACCCCAAGTTAACTATGTCTTCAGGCAAATGGCTGGGCCATACTAAGCTTCTGATTCCTCCTCTGTAAGTAACCACTCTGAGAGTTAAGAGGATAAAATAATGTTTGTAAGGCTCTTAGCACAAGCTATGGTCTATAGGACATTCAAGGAACAGTATAGTAGATGCTGCCATCATTTTGTTTATAGCTTGGAGAAAACTGCCTCAGTTTTGAAATCAAAGTGGTAGTATATGATTAAAAATGTGAAACCACCATGGAGAGAAAACATTGTTCTTTACTACAAGCTCATGGATGTTCATTAGAGAGCACCTCCCTGAATTTTTAAGAGTATTTCAAAACTTGATTTATTTCAGTTGATATATTTTTATCTCCACATGTAATATACTCTTGTTTATTACAGTTGCTTCATATGTTTTATTGGCTGCATGCAAGAACATTTTACTGCTGCACTTGTTTCTATCATTGAATTAAAACTTTTATCACCAGTTAAAACTGAATTTGTAGAGAGACTAATTAAGTATAATACAATATTCTATAACTTCTAATTAATAAAATGCTTAAGCAGTTGACACATTACAATAGAGGTGTATACACACACCCAGTTTTCTGATTCCAGATTCTAGAACACAAGTGAACTGTATATCATTCAGTATTTTAGATTATTCAGTCATTGTTCTTAAATTGCTATTAAAATTAACCTAATTTCATAGGCTCCTTTTTTAATCAAACATTTTTGAAAAGCTCATGAACTATTTTTAATTGCTTTTTAAGAACCTAAAATTTTAAAATTATGAACAAACTGAAGTCACTTCCCATTTTAGAGTTCTTAATATGTAATGTTTGACTTGAATATCACTTAAGTGATATTTGTTCACGGGATTATTATAGTAACTTAGAATGCCATCATAGGAAGCGCACATATATTCCTGGGATGGGTGTGAGAATTAAAAACTAGAGGACAATTGATGACCCACCTGATACAAGGCCACACAGAACAGAAACAGCACCATGTAGATGATTTTGTACATCACAATTTTACCCTCGAAGCTGACAAAGAAGAACATTCCTCCACAGACGTAGATCCAGTACTTAATGAACATGGCCTCCACCAAATTGCCAAGGACTTTCATGATGTCCTGGTCATCATCTTCTTCCACCTCCTCCTCCTCTTCTTTCTTACTCTCTTGCTTCTCTTCCATTTCTTCCTCTTCTTCCCCCTTCTCTTCAGCCTCTCCTTCCACTTGTGTATCTTGTTCGTCATCTTCAAAATAAAAGACTGTGCCATTACACCGAGCTGGTTCCCTGACCAAAACCACACTTTGAACAGGTGTCAGATGTGGGACATGGAAGCATGTATTTTATGTGTTACTATGTGATTTGAATGGTTTTAGACTGTTCTAGTAAACCAGGAAGCATTTATAACTAATCGTTGTCAAATTTTATAACCTTTCTATGATATATTTTAAAAGAAATAAATTTGGTAATATTTTATACTAATCTTTTAGAATACCTATTTCATTTGCAATATCCATGATAGCTTTAAGTACAACAGGTTCTAGAAAAATAAATAGGCAACAATAACACAAATTAAAACTACTATTTCAATTTTGAATTCTGATTGTTTGGTGGCTCTTACAATATTACCTTAGATAAATCATTTAACTTCTTTTAGCCCTTTCTTCCTTCTTCCCTTAAGTGGGAATCACTTTTGTGAAGATCAAATGATACAATATTTTCAAAAACTCCTGTGAATCTCATGTGTAATTTAAATCTCACGTCGTTCAATACTGCTATTTATCACTCCAAGTGAATGTTCACCTTCCACCTAGTCTGAAGCATAGGGGCTCTTTCTCTGTAATTCTGCTGAGCAAAAAAATCTCCAGTCACACACTATACACACTAATTTACCTTTTTCTTCAATTTCCTGAGTTTCAATTTTGACCTCAGATAAAAGAGCTTCCTTTTCTTGAAGAGCTTTTTGCTCGGTGAGGTGTTGCCTCAGCAGTAGCCAAAAAGTAATGGTGAAAAGTATCTGAAAATAGGGAATTAGCAAAACAAGAATTAAGCCACCATTCTGGGTGTAAATACATTTCAACAAATGCAACATGTTCTCCACATTTCAGTGGGAGCTTGCTCAATTAACCTTTCTATTCGAGACAGTGTCAAGCACCTGTTTGATTTCGTTGGGAAGGTGAGTTAAAAGCCAGGTTTTGAAGGTGGTAGTTGATGTAGTTGGGTGGAGCCAGAAATGAGACACTCTAGGAGCTGAAGAATGTGGCAAAATAGCTGTGTCTGCCTCCATCGGAGGTGTTCAGACCTTTGAAGACCCAGGCCATATTCTTTCTTTCTCTTAATTTCTGTCACAGTGACCCATCTGGTATCTGTCAACAGTGAGTGTTTAATAATGTGCTTTGACCAATGTCATCATGATAGATATTTTATGATCTTGGAGTTGTATTATTACCTATAACAAAGTCTTGCTGCCTTTTTTTAAAAAACTCCCGGGTGCATTAAAATATAAGTACAGACCTTAGTTTCCCCAGAATAACATTTTTATAAGTAAAAAAATTTATTGCCCCCCAAATGTCCCTCTCCCCCAAAGAACTGTTAATTCTAAATTAGACAGGAGGTAATTCAACTAGTTAGATGACATGCAATTTTAGAAGTCTCATCAATATTAAAGTTTGGGAGTGAAGGTGAGAGTAGGGTAGGTATGGATATTTTATATGAATGAATTAATAAACAAATAAATGAATGAATAAAGTTGTCATGATCAATGAACACAGAGGATTATAATCCAATTCACCTATTAGGATTAGCATTCACCTGTTAGGATTTTTTCCCTTTACCTCCAATAGCCTTCACCAAAAAATTTGTTATAAGAACCAATCCTCTGTGTGGTCTACTCAACACCCCATTTATGTCTGATTACTTCTATGATATGCCTTGTAACATATCAAAAAGGTGAATTTCATGTGATGTAAATGAATGTCTCTCTCAGAGAGCAATTCTCTGCCTAAAGAAGGGTTTCAAGGCTCATTCATAATTACACATGATTGCTTTTACTGTCTTAACACAAAGTCATCAACACAAAGGGGATGTATGTTTAGAATATGCTACTCTGTTCACCAAACAAGAGAGTTGTGGCACCTAATCTTCAAATAGGCCATAAAAATAAATGGATAGTAAAAGATTATGAACTTTTTAAGTACAGATGAAGGAATATTATATGTAATCAGTAAAGAAAGAAAAGCATGTCATATTTAATTTTTGCTACTATAAAAACTTTTTAAGGACATAATTAGAGATCAATATTTTAACTAATAATCAATGATTATCTGTAACAGCAATGAGTTCAGCCTGTTTTGCAAATCAATTGTCAAAGTCCTCTAATCCTTCTATATGTTTTACATTTTATTTTACTGTTTCCCCATCTCATTTCTACTATACAAGCAATTTTCAATCTTTTTAATCTTATAGCACACATAAAGTAATTACTAAAGTTCTGAGGCACACCAAAAATATATGTTTTTGCCAATCTAACAAAAAAATAGGGATATTTTTGATTCATTCATACCAGTGGCTTATTGTTGTGTTGGTTGTTGTTTTTTTTATTATTATTATTTGACAATCTAAAAGAAAAGAGGTCAGTGCCCCTGCAATAGTCAGGTATTGCCTGTTTTAAAAAATTTTGCAGTACACAAGTGTCCCAGTTGTAGCACACCCATTGAAAATCACTGTACTAAAGTATAATTTATACTAAAAATAACTTGGACTATATTTGTTCTTTGAGTGGAAAGCATTGTCACTTTTAAATAAGATCTAAAAGCATGGTGTAATATTTTTTTTGTTCGTGTTTGAATTATTATAGCTTCATATCTATTCATTTTTGTAAAGCAGTGCATATTTGGAACCGATTTTTGTAAGTTTTTGCTTAGATATGATTATTATGCTTATTGTGGTTACAATGTTTTATGTTCTTGGTTTCTTAGTCACTTACCTTTGAGGCAAGTTCTCCTGGCTCTTTCTTTTCTAAAAATCCTGGGACCTTTTTAATTTCTGGAAGTTCAAAACTCCATATGTACTGTAATACCAGCAATAGATTTGCATAGACAACCATAAAAGGAGAACTGATCATGGCATATTTTCTTCTGTTGCGGATCATCCAGAGAGTGCATGACCAAATCAGCAGCACGAAAGTCAGCCAGCTGTGGTAGGTGATGCTCCAAGCCTTGAGGGAGGAAGGGGGAGGGAAAGCAGTGGTCAGTACAGCACAGAGCCATCTACTCTGGTAAGTTAAAAGTCATCTATAAAAGTAACATTCAAACGGGGAGAGGAGAGAGTTGTGCTGAAAGCATGGAGAGAGATCCCAACCTGTGGTACAGAGAGAAAAGAGAAGAGAAAGACTGATTCCCCTGAGAAGAACATTGCTTTTGAAATGCCTATAGGGAATAGATTTAAAGGCAAGGGGGTCTTCATTCCAGGTTCTTTTCCCTCTAGCCCCAAAGGTCTTCATCTTTACCCTGCTTTGCAGTATTAAAAGCAACTGTAAGTGCTTTCTCCCCTCTTTTACCAAACTATCTTGGAGTTAGCAGTTATTTAAGAGTGCTGAGTGTGGCCCAGAGCTGGGCTCAGAAATGGAAGCTGTGGGAATCACCAGGGTAAGCATACTTTGGTGCGCTTCACAGATCACTCTCAGATGACCCAAGAAAATGCAATGATATAAATTAGAAAATGCACATGAGGAAGTTGTATGTTGGGTTTCTGCACACCCTAGACAAAAAGCCACGTTAATTTAAAGACCAGCCTCAGCTTCTGTCCTGTAAGGAGTAGAACTAAAGAGCCCTCACACCGTTTGTACAAATGATACATCTTCTTCCATTCACACTAAACTATCAAAGAATCAGAAATGTATCTCAAAGGGCAGCTACCAGAACAATGAGTAAATCAGTCTCACAAATATTATTAACTTCAGGAATTCTATCATGTTTTACCATAATCTCTGATACAAAAAAAATTATAGATATGTTTGGTGCTAATTGCAATCAATCATATTCCTTAATATCACTATTTATCAAGAGTTAGTTAATAAAGTCTGAAGTTTTACAAGTCTGTTTTGCTTCTGGAAAGTAGGAAAGTATTAAGATAAAGGAAGTCAGCATGGACCCAACAAATATTTCCTCTCAGCAATTTGCAAATTTGTCCTAAAGCACAGCTAGCTTTTTAAGTGGCAAATTATCTTAAATTGTTGGTTAAAACATATAGGTATAAACTGAAAATTAAAATTCCTTTTTATCAAAATTAAGTTAGTGACTGACAACTATGATAAGTCTGAAGTATTTTCATAAAAATTTATTTCTAGGAAATGGTGTTTTATCAAAATTCAGGTAACATTTAATGTATCTGCATTAAATACTGTATTTAATGCATTTATCCCAGTATGAGATGCAGATGTGACTACCATTTTTGTGTGTGTGACCCAGGGAAAGTGAACTTCACAGGTATCCTAATCCCAGCAGATTTTTCCCCTGCACACTGTTCTTGTTTGGAAGGTGAGAGTGAGAAAGGGAGAAAAACAAGTGATGCGGATTTTTTAAAACTTCTTTCCTCTTAAAGCCAAAGTATCCTATGCCTCTCAGTTGTGATGTTGGGAAGCAGACTCTGCAGTATGTTGCTTCCTACGTTCAGTGTCTGGGTTTCCTGAGAGGTTAGTATATCCACAGTATTCTTGAATAAATACATATATTGTTCTAACAGAGTCAGCTCCTCGGGACTTCTCTTTCTGCCTGTGATTAAAAGCCTGCGCAGCGGGGAGCTTCCATGGAAGGCAGGCATTTTTTAAAACATTAATACTGTGGCTCCACTAACACAACAGAAATGGCAACAGATAAGGGCACGTCCCTAATGAAGGATCTGCTCTCTTATGTTGTTTTTAGAATGGATTTTTTCCCCTACAAAATGTGTATTCAAAAAGATGTTAAAGCCCTATTGCTTTACAAACAGGGACCAAAGTTAGCTGGCTTATTTTTAGAAAGAGAGGGGAGAGAGTGTATGCTCTTTTGAGTTAAGAATCAGATTTGTAAGTTGCATTTATATGTTTGATATTTTAAAATCAATATTTTGCTGTAGAGATTGATCTGTAGAAAATATCAAAAAGGACCCAAAGAGGACAGAATTCATATTATTTAGAGAACAGAATTTGCAAGCTCAAAAAGAGCCACCTTTAGTTTTGTGGAGCTTTCTGTTTTCCATTCCTCTCTCAGCTATCCCAGTGGATACATTGACGGAGGAAACAGTGTCTAGGTATTTTCCCCCCTAGCTTTATAGAATATTTTCATTTTTATCATCAAAGATATTCATGAGATCTCTCACCATTAACCACATACTTCGGAAGAGTTTTGTGTTAAATAAGTGTTAGGTCTCTCAAAAATAAATTCGATTTCCCATGAGAGTTTGTTTTTAGGAAGTATGGAAATGAGGCTTTCTGTTATCATCTATGTGGAGGCCAGAAGACTGTTTCTGATGCTGTGGAACGAGAGATGAAGGAGGCACCTAGAGGTGAGTAGAAACATGCCTATACTGAGCGCTCAGAATAGCAAAAGCCCTTGGGAACTCCGGTTGCTTGACATTCATATTGGTAAAAGTTTATTGCAGCTGAGATACAAAAGAGTCTCACTGAAATCTAAGACAAGATGTGAAGGCAATTCTTACTATCGGAAAGAAATAAAAGCAATCTATGGTAATCTTGAACACCTTCAATATCACTCGGAAAAACTACACAAAATGTCCTTTTAAATTAGCAAAATAGGGACTATCTGACTTGCTAGGCTAATTTGGGAGAAATGTATTAATATTTAAAAGGAGGCTGAGCGGAAGAGGATATGATTTTGAAATCCATAATATAAAAATCCCATGAAAAATTAATATAACCAAACATTCTCCGCCAAAACAGTGGGGAGATTAAGACCTTCCTGCCGTTCCTGAGAGGACAGCGAGGCTGCCAGCCAGCAGGCCATGCGCACATTTCCCAGCACCCGTGCTGTGGCCTCGCGTACATACCATCATGGCAATGAGGGCACAGATGTAACTTTGTTTCATAATAAACTGGAACACAGAGACCATGGCGTGCACTTTCACGCTTGTTTTTTCTTCATGGCTCCTATCCTCTTCAAATTCTTCTTTCTCATCCTCTTCTTCCTCTTTCTTTTCTAGAGAGACAAATATTTTATGTAACTAGTTATGCAAATACAGTATAAGAATTTTGTATAAATGTCCCAAGCAATGCTGCCCATGTACGTTTTTAGCATGGTTTGTCATTTAAGACTTCAGAGATTATTTCCAATTCACAAAGTCCTTAGAATTCAAACAGAACCATTAAGTTTTGCTTGGTGAGTGTAATGGGGCCCCGCACTCAGAAATTACAGGAAGAAAAATTTGATTTAAGAGAGTGTGGAGGGAAGCTTCTAAGACGCTCGCCGATGACCCCCTACCTCCTAGTGTTCCTGTCTTGTGTAACCCTTTCTCTTGACTGTGGGTGGGACCTTTGATGGGCTTCTAAAGAACAGAATACTGAGAGAAATCAGCTGCCATGTTGTACGCTGCCAATGGAGGGGCCCAGGTGGCAAGGGCTTGATGCCTCTGGTCAGCAGTCAGCAAAGGCATAAGGCCAGCCAGTAGCCAGGTGAGTGGTCACGGAAGCAGACTGTCCCCAGGAGAGCCCTCGGATGGGACCGCGGGCTTGGCCAGCAGCTGGACTTCAGCATCATGAAGTCCCTGAGCCAGAGAATATCCACCTAATCACAGACAATTTCTTACCCACAAAAACAGGGTGACATAAATGCTGTTTTAAACCACTAAGTGTGTTACTCAGTGATAGATAACTAATACAAAGAGTATGTGGAGTATGGATACAGGAAAAGTGTAGAAAACCCACCAACCAACCACTTTGCCAGAGGGCATGTGATGGTCCATAGTGTCCTTTTGGGTCATGCTGAGGCGGGTAAGTCATACTGAGGATGGAAAGATCAGGCCAAAGCAAGAGAGAGAAAGTGTAAAGGGCTGAGTTGAAGAGACCAGCAACAGGAAAGTACTGCCATGGGTGTGAAGGATTTCTCTGCAAGATCCTCCTACAGATGTCAGGGAAGCTATTTTGATTTTACAGATGAAATAATGAGTGACACACTTAAGTAAAATGTCCTTTTTGTATTTCTTAAATTAAATAGGCTACATCCCATTTAGGGAGTTACTGAGCACCATGAAAAGGGAGCATAAATCACCGAATAACCAGTGGCCAAGAAGGCTTAGCAGTGAGCCTCTAAGGGTGACTGGGACATTTCTTCCCGCAGAAGCCCACTGCCCCCCATCCCTCCAACGCTGAGGCAGGACGAGCCTGGAGTTTATTGGGGGAGTCCACGGAGTGGAGACAGTCACGAAAAATCTAAATTTGATGGATTTTATAATTATTGGCATGCTACTTCTCTAGTGATAACATTTTTTGCATATATAGATTCAAATAAAAAAACACTTTTGTTTTATTTTCGAAAGTTCAGTTTATGATTTAGTATGTGTGGGTTTTGCATATATAGATTCAAATAAAAAAAAACTTTTGTTTTACTTTCGAAAGTTCAGTTTATGATTTAGTATGTGTGGGTTTGCCTCGTCAGCAGTCAGAATTCTGTTAATTTCTTTTCATGTTAAGTAATGTGTCAATAGAAGGATATTTGGCTCAGACCTCTACGTCTCAAACATCCGATGCCATAAATGCTTGTTCTTGGGCCTTCCCTTTGTGATTCTAATGCCACAGGTGTGAAGACCACACTTTGGAAAGCAGTGTATTTCCTGACACATTCTCTAAGTGAAAACCTTCATGTAAGTCCGAGTTGCAAACTGAAACATATGCACGTAGGAAGGAGAAATGGGCAATTAACCAGTAGAGTCGGGTGCTCTGTAGGGATTGCAGATGCCAGCTGGGGCGGGGTGTGTGTGTGGGGGTTCAGGGTGGGGTAGAGAACTGAACTTGATCTGACCTTACGGAGGAATGTTGGATAATGTACTAACCATTTGTACTGCTAAGTAGATGCACTGTCAGAGGCAACTGCAGGAAACACTGATAGTGTTCATAAAGAACCATGAAGAACAGTGCATTAGAATAAGCCTGGTAAAGAATTATGAGAGAAAAGGACGTAAGAGTCAGCTCAATGTACTGATAACACAGATTGGATAGTGGCTGGCTGTTTACTAAATTTAGGATAATATATAACAACTCTAGCTTTAATTCCATAAAAATAGAGAGAAAAATCCATTATATTGTTGTAGCCACTTTGCTGCCACCTGCATGCATTCTGCTTTTCCTCCCCTCAGCTAATTCTGTCTATGAATTGGTGATTGGCATGGTCTCCAACAAGGCAACGACAACAGTGGTCCAGTCGGCTGCTGCATTACAGAAAAAAGGGACTAGTTTGCCAGATATTTGTATTCTTCAAGGGATTCTGGACATTTGCATTTCTAGATGAGAGCTGCAGCTTTTAAAATGTTGGTTACTATTCAACTTTTTTTTTAAAAGAAAATGCTGTGTGGGCCTAAAAACCAAGTCTGAGGACAAGACCTCCTCCACCCCAAGCTGCTTTCCTTTAACATAATACACAGAAAATAAGGAGGGTGGGGGAGGGCCGTGTACAAGTTTTGACCCTCTCCTCTTCTTAATAGACAAAAAGAACTCTTTCTGAAAAGATTCATCCATTAACCTGCAGAACTATTGACCAGGATTACATTATCAAATGACGGAAAGACTAAAACATACATATACACAAGTTGACATCCTTAAAATCATTTTTTACCTTTTATTTTTCAACATTTGCCCTGATTATGCCTCTTAGTTTGTAGATAAGGATAGAACACACATAACCATGTGTTGGGGCAGAATAAAGGGAGCACTTAAGGAACTGAGCTTAATTATACCAACCTTGGAAGACAAGACTTGTTAGAAAAAGAAAGAAGAAAAAAGAACCAAATCCGATGAACAATAAACAAAAGACAGAGATGTCAGGCTGAATTTATGCCTGCGAGAAACTAAAGCCCCGGGCAGACGGCAGTCTGCAGAGCTGGCTCCTCACCTGCAGAGTCATCCGAGGGCTCCCACCGGTACTGCGGCGTGGAGTACAGCTCGGCTTTGGCAGGGCCGTTCTCGATGGGAAGACTCGGGTGGATGGTGTGGTAATCCACAGGGTTGCCATTCACGGTCACCAGCAGGCCCTGCGGGGGCGTGAGGGAAGAGGCACATCTGTGATGCAGCTGCTGTTTTCAGTGTGGACATACAGCCTCCTGCCCTTACGCTAAGGTATAACTCCACAGTCAAGGATGGATGGATAGCGAACAACTTAGTCAGCTCTCCACGTTAGCAAGATGAAATTGTGTCTATTTCCTCTCCAATTGCGACAGATCGCAATAAAATGTAACTCTGACCTTGTCCCGTCTCTGCTGAACACCATGCAATGCACTTCTGTTCTATGAACTCTGGAAAAGGCTGCCTGAGGCCTGATGACCTGGCCTATCTTGCCAGTCTCTGCTCTCATGGCGTCCTCCTCCCAGCCAGCCTCCAGCTCTAGGGACTCTAGACCTTTCCTGGGCCCTGCCCAGGAGCCTCGCTGCCCTGGCCCTTCCTTGTCCTGCCCCACAGCCCACGGCCTCTGCACAGGACTAATGCAACAGGTCTCAGCTCAGACGGCACTCCCTCTGGGGATCTCTGCCTGATGCTGCCAGCTTGTAATTCCCTTATTGTAATACGTCATATACTATGTGCAATTTCTTGTTTATTTTCCCCCCTGTGTTTCTTTGGCTTTACAATTTTAAAGATATGCATATAAACATACACATATACATATATGTGTGTGTCCATGGACACGTAAGAGTTCCTACTCAAATTATGTAGCAGGCAAAGCCACAGAGCAAAATGCTTTCTAAAACTTCCAACATGGTTTTTTAAAAGTTTAAATACATTCTGTATGACTATGCTGGAGTTCACAAGTCAGTGTTTTAATAGCAATAAACCAGATCTAATTTCTACAAAGTAATTATTCAAAAAGTTATAGAGATTGTATAGATCATTAAAATATACTAAAGGAGCTAATTCCATTTACGTCACCTTTACATCACTTATGCACATATAAATAATAATTCTAAGGATATACTAACATCAGATGGCTTGTAGTCATCTTGGGTCATGGATAAAAGCTGCAAAAAGCAATGCAGGACAGCATGTTAATATATAAGCCGAAAGCATTGTAATGTTTATATATATCTACCAAGTTTCACCACACACATATCCATTCTCTTAACTAGCTCGATGCTAGTATGTTAAAATTGCCATGCAAAATGTAAAGGTACATATAATTGAATGGGATGTTGCTGTTTATTATAACAGTAGAGGCCTGATGCATGAAATTCGTGCAAGGGGCTTGGCCCCCACCACTGCCTCTGCCCCCTCTGCAGCAGCTTCGTCTGGAAGGTCATCTGGAAGGAACTTCCGGAAGGATGTCTTATCTAATTAGCATATTACGCTTTTATTATTATAGATTGCCAGCTTCTGATGCTAACTTTTAATTTTAACAGCAAGTAAGCAGACGTAAACAACATCACTATAAATGTTAATTATATTTTCCAGTGTTTTGTTCTAATAGATTAAACTGCTTGATTTTGAATTCCTAGAACCCTCTGAGACACTGCAAAATTTTGAATGTTCGCTTTTCAAGAAATAGATGTTTCATAATAAAGAAAACATTATTTGTTGTGTGTTTTGAGACTATTTTAAGATTTGCATGCTGTCTATGACAAAAGAATTATTATAGGACTGTATTTTTTAGCTATGTTAGTGCCGGATGGTTTGGGCTCCCCCTAAATAATAAACATTTGCTTTGCCAGTACAAAGGGGTCCCCAGGTCTTTTAAAACAGGACTCATTTACATTCTTACAAATCACTGGGGGGGGGGGGCCCAAAGGGTTTTTTTTAGTACTATCTGTCAGTATCTACCATTGAGAAATGAAAACTGAGACATTGAAAGATATTACATATTCATTGAAAACTAAATAGCCATTATATGTTAACATAGATATTCAAATAGCTGCATTTTAAAAACAGAGAAAAGAGTGGCATTGTTTTATGCTTTTGCATATCTTTTTAACGTCTGACTGATTTAAAGGAAGGCAGCTGGATTCTCATATCTGTTTCTGCGTTCAATCTGTTGTGATATGTTGTGTTGGTTGAAGTATGGGAAGAAAATCTGGTTCACTGAGATTTGTAGTTGGCAAAGGAAGAAGCATTTCAATAGTCTATCCTGATAATGGTAGATAGTTTCATTTGCTACTGCATCAAACTCAGTAAATGGCAGGAACTTGAAGGTTAGCTGCAATGTGAAATCTGAAATCAAATCAAACTTTACACAGTGTTTCATCAAAATCCATTGATACACTGGCACGCTCGGAGATATTGTGGGTTTGGTTCCAGACCACTGCAATAAAGTAAGTATTGACATAAAGCAAGTCATCATCTTTTTGCCAGTGGAGGGTTTGCCTTCAATTTGAAAAAAGACACAATATCTATGAGGTGCAATAAAGCAAAGCACAATAAAGCAAGGTATGCCTGTACCTTGCACCTTGCATGGATCTTTTACCCACAGGTCGCAATATCATATGTTGGTGATTTGCTTCAGTGAGTCATACAGCCCTACCAAGTATTGACATATTTCAGCCACAATATCTAAAACAGCACATTTGTTAATATCAGCACTGATTCCATCAAAATAGTCCCTAAGTATTGGGAAGTTTTCAAGCCCTCAGAAGTAGATACAAATTTGTCCATCGTTGAATTTTCACTCAAAAGTTCAAATTTTATCATTGGCGACAAATGCTGTGAGCTGATGCCTTGAAAAGATTGGCTCACTACATTTATTTTCCAGTAACTGTCTGCCAAACACCCACACCTGAGTAATCACAATCTGTCTATCAGCTATTCTTTTAAGTAAACCTGGTGTTTAATAAAAAATGGCTAGTTCAACCCACACTTCCAATGACCCATCAAATGCTTTTCATTGACACAGTTGTCATACTTTAGTATGTGCCAACTCCTTATTTTGTCACACATAATATTAAAAAGACGTGTGCTCTAAGGTTAAGACTTAAGAAAATTAATAAAAAGTTCTGGTCCATCAAGGATATAGTTAAGTGGAACTGGCCTTTTTGCTTTGTTTTTTGCAAGTGTGTGGCCATGAAGAGTTGACCATGACTGTAGGGGTTCATGCCACTGCCTTGGTTTGTGCTTTTGTACCATCAGAAAAAAATTCATTAGCACAACAAAAGGTAAATATTTAACCAATTATTACAAAAATAGTTTTGAACTTGTGGATTGCTGTAAGGGCCTCAAGAAGCCCCACTTTGGAAACTGCGGGGCTATCCTTCGTGGATATCATCACTTAGTGAAATGAGCAGGATCTTCTGGAACATGGTGTATTGAGAGAAGAAAGGACCCCTGGAAATCCTCAGATATCCAAGGGTGCCACATCTTCTCCACATGGCTGCCAGCTCCCTGAGACAGCGTTTTCATTGTTCCACCCTTTCTCAGCACAGGACGGCCATGGGTAGCATAAGACCATGTGTCTTAGAGAAACTCACCTACCACCAAATAAATCAGAGCATCTGCTCCTCAATACTCTAACATGCTACAAAGCAAAATGGCTGACTCCATCCAAAAAAATAAGATTCTGTGTCTTTGGAACATTGCCAATGGGACATTTTAGCAAGTCAGTATGGCACTGATTGAGTTGAGTTCAAAATGGTTAATATGTGCTCAAAACGTTATATAAATTACCCAATTGTGACTCACTTTTCCTTGTCAATCCATACTGTTGCTTCACAGTAGTAAGAGACACTTAATTGTATTCATATAGATTGTTTTGATCTTCTCTAAGTGGTTTCTTGAGTTATTATTGTGGCTGGCTACCTAATAGAGTGAAAGTATTATCTGCAATGTATTTCAACACTGAGACTTTCACCACCCAGTGCTAACAGATTACTTCCTTAGGTTTTGATACAGCTTTACTTTTTTTAAATGAAGAACATTCTTTCTCTTTAGGGTTAAGAGACTTCAGTGGAAAGCACAGCAATACAGAATGGTGTCCCATAGAGTACAATGGAGCCATGGTATACCCTTTGGAAGCACTGGGCTTCCTCTTGAATAGAGCTCTCCGCTACTAAGACTTCAAAGTCAAACCATTTCTATAAACTGAGCAACTTGAGATTGATGCTATATGACCAATATTCAGCAATATAATATGAAAGTAGCAAAATAAAGTAGGAAATGGAAATTCCTTTCCTAGTGTCTTACTTTTCTCTCGTCAGTTGGGTAATGGGTTGCATACCACAGGCTCCGCCTCCTCTCAGCTGTCATTTGGATGGGACTACAGGCCAGGGCTCTCTCCTCCTTGGTTCTCTCATCCTGCACCTGAGACACAGAATAATAACTCACAGGACCAGCCCTGCTTCCGGAGCAGTTCCCTCAACCACCGGGGTGACCAGGGAAACTTTCCAGCTTCACTTCGATGTGATTATTTTTTAAATTAACATATACAATATAAGAGGTTTTATCAAGACACTTTCAAAAATAACAAAAATGCTGTCATTTAAATGCTAAGCTCATCATTATTAAATGTTCCTGATTACTATTAAGCCCCATAAATTATAGGAATATGTTCTAAGGTTAAACATCCACAGCCTCTCCATGTGTGTTCTAAACACTAGAAGACAACTATACAAATGGTTCTTAGAGGAAGAGCTTTAAAAAAAAAAGTGCACAGTTAACTATGTAACCTGGCCATGGACAATCTTTAATTAAGAAGAAATTTATTAAAGGCAAAATCACCTAGAGTTTACATACAATATTAAGCAAGCATATATCTTATTCACAAAACTGTGGCCTTGCCTAATAAGACATTGGCCTAAATTAGACAATTGGTCTGGGAGAGATGATAAAGAGAGGGTATAAGGAACAGAATGCATTGGGTGATTTAGTTTGCTGTCTCAACAAAGATGGCCCAATACAAAGGAAGTTAACCACTGATTTTGGAGCAGAGGGAAGGGACATAGTCCTACTGCCCAGTTCCCCAGTTCCCGTGCCAGCATGCAGCACCCATGGAAACACGCAGGCACACTGGGTGGAAATTCACACTTGCCAGGTGGGAGTCCATATATTACATTTAAGTTTTGACACCTGCATACCTCTCTCTCTCTCTCTCTCTCTCTCTCTCTCTCTCGACTTTTACCACAGAACTAACCTTTATTTGCTGGCTGGCATTTTTCACGCAATGTGCCAGGTGATCTGGAATGATGATATAATCGGCCACCTGTCTTCCATCACTGCCTCGATGAGCCACACCCCTGCAGCCCCTGTGATGTGTAATACTGCTATTAACTGTGCAGGCTGTCACCTGTGTGGTCTTCCTAGTCGCCTTCCTGTGTCCCCAGATGCCCTGTGGCTCAGGCAGCCCAGTGTCTCATCTGAACGTCTCATCCGTGGGAGCAGGGATAACACCTGCCCCTCTGTGGCAGCGGGACAGCCAGGGCACACGGCGCCTGCCATTCTGCGGTCGCCTGAGAAATCTGAGAAAGCTAAGGGCACTTACGAACTCAGATTCCTTAAAGCAGTGGTTCTCAACCTTTGCTGCACATTGGAATCACCTGGGAATGTTTTTTAAAATCCTGATTTCTGGGCCCCATCCTCCGGAAATTCTGTTTCTTTGTTACTAATATTGTGGCCTCACCCCATAACAAAGAAACAAAATTTCCGGAGGATGAGGCCCAGAAATCAGGATTTTAAAAAGATTCCCAGGTGATTCTCATGTGCAGCCAAGGTTGAGAACCACTGCCTCAAAGTAACTTTCGTCAATTATAAAACTCTGTTCAGAAATAGTTCCCATAATACATGTCAGTTTCTTTTGTACATGCATTTACTCGGGCATATATACATATTCATATTCGCATGTGGTTTTGTGGTGGAAGCAAACACAATAAACACTTACAGGATTTTACTGGCACACTTGAATTTCAGAAGGGAATTGGATAAACATATAACAGACGATAATTGGATTCCCTGTGACCCCATGAGCATTTTGTTACTGTGCAACTGCCATTGGTGGGCCCCAAAGAAAGGTAATACATGAGAACCCTGTGAACTAGGGAGGCTTCCCTGGCCCTCATCCTCCGGGACTGGCTGCACAATGGGGAGGTGGTTTCACACAGGAGAGAGAACAGAACAGAGGCCCAGGCCTCAGGTGGCACTTCTGCCAGGAACGGATAGACACATGCATCCTACCCAGTGTCATTGTACTATCTGCCTCAGATCCCATTTACTTCTCATGGCTCTTTTTCTCCTGTAAAATGTATAGCTTCTCTAAGTGGACATTTTGACTATGGGTTGCTGCTCTATCCTCAGCCCCAGGTTTGTCTGAGATAAACGGCTTGTGATATACAGGTATCCAAAAAATGTATACACACTCTGAATAATTATAAAGGCAGTGTTTAATAAAATATATTGCATTTCAAAATGTACTAGAAATCAGCTGTTAAAGTGTGTATACATTTTTCTAGGACACCCTGTATATTTGTTGAATGGCTGAATGAATGAATGAATGAATGAGTGGATTGGTCTGTGGGTGTGAAGACAGAAAAAGGGAAAGTAGGCAACCAGGGCCCCAAGCTAGAAGTGATATGAGAGGAGGCATGACTGGATCGCAGAGACTTCAGCCCAGCCATGCTCATTGGAGCTGCCTGGAACCTGCGGACCCTGCCCCGGCAGGTGGTGGATGGAAGGTGTGTCAACCTGTCTGTACTACTTGCCTCCCTCACATACCAACAAGCTGCCTTTTTTTAAAGTAACATTTTATCTACCATAAAAATTTATAATTTCTAAAAAATCCACTAAGAACAAAAACACAGTCTGGTAAATCCAAGATTTATAAAAACCACGCACAAAACCCATGGTATTTAGAGAAATAGAAAATGTTTATATAAGTAGCACTTTTGAAATGTAGCTTTTTTCTACTATCTATTACACATTCACATACACACACTAATTGAAAATATGCCAACGCCAATGTCTGCAAAAGCAGTTCAGCCTTTTCTAAATGGCTTTCTCTCTCATTTACTGGATAATGCAGCTGTTAATACTGCACAAGTACAGTGAAGCGATTTTTAATTACTTTTAAACAAAGATAAAGGGATTTTTCTCCCTCAAAACATGTTTTAATCATGAAAACAACTGAGCTTCTCACAGACACTGAGGTTCTATCATGCCAGCAGTGCTTAGAGGTAGAGGTCTGAGACATTTGGAAAACGCCAGTCACTGCAGTAACAGGGGATACAGTCACTGAGAACCTCGCTTTGTTGTCAAACATTAGTTTGAATCTGGTTTCTACGCTGCAGTAGGTGTGTGATTTTAGACCGCTTTACCACTCTAACCTCATTTTACTCATCTCTAAGCTGGGTACAATACTACTCTTCAGAATAGGTAGTGGGTTGAAAAAGACAATGCATGTAAACAGCCTAGCATGTGGCCTGGTACTTTGTACTAAGTGCTCAATAAAAACGAGTCTTCCATTCTCCACCTCACCTATCATTCTTAGCAGCTCATGTTGATAGATAGTATCAAAGAGAAGCTGGTCTTTGTTCTGATAGGATGTGCACTTAGTACTCTTTGTAGAATCAAAAAACGCTATAAGCAGAACACTATATTTTGGGGAATATAGGATTGCTATCAATACTATATTGAGCACTTAACAGGAATGAACCATTTCACCTGGGTTTTTCCAGGTTACTTTGCAGACAAGATCACAAAAACCTTTTGATCCTTACAAGTGGCTCCTGCAGCCAGAGGCGGATCAGAGTGGCCAGCGTGTAGTACATCACCAGCAGCAGGATGGGGTTGGCGTGGTGGTACCATGATAGGTTTGGGTTTGCCACGATCTTCCACGTGCTGGAACAGTCTGTTTGAATCACTGATTTGATACCAAACAACCTGTCAAAAAATAAATAAAAATGTTTTAAAAACATAACAAACTCTGTGTCCCTAATACAGTAAAGAAAAATCTCGTTTTTAGTTCATACATGAGCTCTTCTTAGGTTAATCCATCTTATTCTAGATATTTCATTACTCTTCTGTATATATAACTACATCTTTAAATAATAAATGTATTTATATATGTCCTTAAATCACATATATGCGTTAACATGTGTGTGTGTATATATATAAATGTTGCCAACATTAGCCAGATGACCTTTACATTGGTTCAAAGATCTAGCTAATACTAAATCCTTGCACACCTATTAGAAATTTAATTGTCAATCAGCCCTATTTAAACATGCTTTATTGAAATGTCAGGTCAGTAGTAACATGTTACTAAATCCAGGTCAATGAGCATATATTTTGTATTTGGTATGATTTAGCATTAGCTATTCAGTTAGTGTTGATATTATTGGGCAACTGTTAAAATTGGAAACTATTCTACAATTCAGTCATAAAAGCCAGATATTATATACTATAGTTTCTGTTAGATATATTTCCACCTAACTTTATTTATGGGCAATTAGATTTTTTACTTTGAAACATACTTTTATGATGTGTTTTAAATTCTGAAAAATTTTACGTTCCTTCTACTAATAATCAGAATGTATCTACTTATATAACGAGAAAATATGTAAAGTACAATTTATTTAGAAATTCACTGTATATGAATTTTTCTAAAAAAGGATCCTATTAAATGAATAAGACTTTTACAATGTAAGGGAGTCTCATATCTTTCTATCATTCCTATTTCTTACATGGGAAATTCCTTTGATTTTTATGTTACATTCTTCATTCAGTTATAAGCTCTTCCAAGACTATAGTAAATGTCCCTCACTCATAAACCTTTAAGTTTATTATTGTTTTCTATCACAAAACAAGTAGAGTACTGGTGAACTTCTGAACACAAATTTTAAGATAAACTACGTAGAATTTAAACTTGTCCACTTCACAGCCCTGGAGAGGTGGAGGGATGAGGGAGGCATTTTCTGTAGAACTGGCTTGCTGGCAGCTAGTGGCAGACTTGTCTCCGGGAGAAATTTCAGCCCAGAATGGGCAACTGTGGCTCTGCTTGTCTGGGAGGTGGCGGCACTCAAGGAGTACAGTGGCATGGGGATGTGGCAGGAATCACGACACTGGCACTTGGCGAATGGCTGAGGGCTCAAGGAACACTAGTCCAGGGAGACAGGCCCCCTTTGGGGCTTAAGGAGCCGCACAAGGATGAAGCAGGGTCCCGGGGCTTTGAGATCCCTTTCGTGTGCTTCTTCTCCTTGGAACTTCAAACCACTGTGGTATCTGCAGCATCTCCCCTCTCCGGCTGGAGTCACCTTGGGATCCTGTAAAGTACCACTACCTGGCCCTACCTCGGACTATCTGAGATCTCTTTGGGTAAAGCTGAAGGTGGTAGAACATTTATAGAGCTTCCCTGAGGGTTATTTGCAATGAGAGCTGAGAATAACCTCTCTGACACTATGTTTACTACAAAGGTAAGTAACTCTACAGTACACATTGTGCACAAACGGAGCAGTTTGTAAAAAGACATCACCTCAGAGAGGCTGCAGGAGCCGGGCTGACTGTTTAGGTCTATATCTTCCCTTTGCTTACCAGCGGTTCTCAACCTGTGGGTCGCCAACCTGTGGGTCACGACCCCTTTGGGGGTCAAACGACCCTTTCACAGGGGTCGCCTGAGACCATCGGAAAACACATATATAATTACATATTGTTTTTGTGATTAATCACTGTGCTTTAATTATGTTCAATTTGTAACAATGAAAATACATCCTGCATATCAGATATTTACATGACGATTCATAACAGTAGCAAAATTACAGTTATGAAGTAGCAACGAAAATAATTTTATGGTTGGGGGTCACCACAACATGAGGAACTGTATTAAAGGGTCGTGGCATTAGGAAGGTTGAGAACCACTGGCTTAGGCGAAGCTCATCAAGCTTCTTGGGTCTCCAGAGAGAACCTTCCTCCTTCCCCTCTGCTTCAGGTCAAATATACTTTCTTGCCTCAGTTTGGAACCTCAAGACTCTGCTTACAATAACATTTATGCAAATAACTTTGTTTGGAGAACATATTAGTTTACTCTTTCCCTAAACACAAATTTCCCCTGGTAAATACATCTTTAGGGTTAGTTAACATTCCTCTCCAATCCTTGTTTTCACTGCTTTTCTATAGAGCTCCTACCTTTCTGTAAGGTAGGAGAGCCAGATATGGGGTGATTCACAGCATGGGCTTTAGAGTGAAATTCCAGTTCAAACTCTGGCTTTGCCACCCCTATCATGTGTCTTGGGGTAAATAACTTATCTATACCTCAGTTTTCTTATCTTTAAAATGGGGATAATAGAACCTACCTTATAAAGTTGTTGGAAGCATTCAATGAATTAGAACTTGACACTGATAAGTATTCAATAAACCTTAACTATGATAATGATGAACCCAGTCCTACAATATAAAGTAGGTGCCTCATTTTCCTTTCCTACTTCCTCGCAGGGTCCCGGAGCCTTCTTGGGAGAACACAGCAAACAGTGACTGAGTCCTATCCAATGCTGGACACTCTACATCCACAGCCTGCTTTAGCACCTCGCTGACTCCATGAGGTAAATATTATTCAACCACCCACAAGATGAGAAGGCCAGAACTCCAGTCTCACAATGAGGGAGCCAGGCAACTGGGACCCATGTCTGTTTGAATTCCAGAGTCCTTCCCCTCATGAAGCGAAGCTGCCAATTAAAGGCAAAGTGCCTGGAACAGGCGCAGAGAAGGACTTTCCTTCTTGCTTGAGCAAGAAGCACCCAGTTCCCTTTGCTCACACCCTCCTCCGTCTCTTTCACTTTTACAAGCACATTATTATAGACTCTCCTGGGATGAAGGTCGCACAAATGACCTCAATCTCTTTGGTAAGGAGGTGGAAGACACAGGATGAGAAATAGATGTTCCAAATTTAGAATATTGAGCAAGAAGCCACTGAAGAGTGTTTATTGTCAAATATAAAACAGAACTTTCTATAAAGACAGAGAAACTTTACAGAAATCTGTTCTATATTTTCCCCCAACATTCTTTTACATCACCAATTCATTAAAAATGTACATTATGTTATACTGGAAATATGTCTATGAAAACACTACACAATAAAACTCCTAACCAAGTTCATACATTTCTAGTAATTCTCACTAAATCCCAATTCTGACAAGCAGTATCTTAGCAAAGGTTTGATTACAAAGATCCAACAGCAATTTTCATATTAATTTTCTTTATGGAAAAACATTTACTTACTCTGATAGTATAATGGATACCATTGTCAGAAACTGATATAAACAAGTCAAAATAAGCCAATGTCACTTATGATTCAATTTCCTTCTTATTTGAACATAAAAAAACTTCTGTTTTTGTAAATACTTTGTAAGATTCCCTCAGTTACTGGTTTACAATAACAAATTCCCATAAAATGGAATAAAATAATTCTCTGAAATCACTTCCCTCATTATACTAACTCCCCCTGACTGATTATTACTGAAATTTATAATGCCAAATCTCAATAATGAGTAATAAAGCTGCTACCATATTAGCAGCCAATCTGAAACTGATTGACTCATTTTTATTTTTATTTTTTTTTTAGGGATTGAAGATCTACTTCAAATCACGAATATTTTTGAGCAGGTTAGCAATCACTGACCTCTAATCCTCCACTCACATCTCCACTCAATAATCTACCCCCTTTCTGGCCCAGATAAGAGATGCTCAAGGTCATATGTTAGATTGAAGAAAAGAGCTAGATTTAGATAAAAGGATTATTGAAAACAGCCATCAATTCTTGGTAATTCCACTACTTGATGCTAATGGCTAGACTGAGGTAACAAGGTCTATAATATAATCTATATAAAGCAATATCACAGAATGTGGCATGTACTAGCTGCTCAAGAAATTATGGCTACTGCTATTATTATTGTTATTACTATTAAGCATAATATGAACTTGGCTTATGCCAGGGTCATAGCTCTATTTATAATATCATATTGATTTTGCTGGAAAATAAAAATAGATAAATGTCCTCTTTAAGATGGAACAGAACCACAATCACCCTCAAGAAAAAAGCTGGGTGATAATATTTGAAAGAGTTTGGGTGAGGTGGTAGGGAGGCTGTGCCAAATGTATAACATTTAATTATTAATATTATTTTTAATTATTAGGTTATTTATCAAGAAAAATCTATCTCATCTTGGTAATGTGATCAAAGAAAGGAGAAGAGGACCACTAAAGACACTCAGTTGTAGATTGGTTTCTGCAAAACAGACATTCTGTTGCTGTGCATATGTGCATTCTTAAACACATATATGTATGTTAGTTTCTTGCATAAAATAAAGAAATACTCTTCGCACAGAAATGGCCCACAACTACTTTCCAATCCAAGAAGAATGTGAATGAGGCGAGGGTGATGTGTAGTCTTGTTTTGACAGTAACAGGACATAGGAAGCATTGCTTCTGGTGGGCTTGATTTCAACAGTCCTCACTAACTTTGTTGTTATGATTTTCCAAGTCTAGAATAGGGAAAGTCTGTGGATTCAGTGATCCTCAAAAAGAAAAAGAAATCCTCTCTAAGTGGGCAACACAGAATCTGCTGGGGTCACTTTCTTACCTTCTTGTCTACCCTCATCCTCCACCCCCATTTTTCTGATAAATTTGCCTGCAGAATGCTCCAGCAAACTGAACTCTTGGGAATGGGTTGGTGGAGTGGATATTAAGGAAGGACTATCCTTGAGAATGTTGGGGCCAGCAGGGAAGCTGAGAACTACCAGTAGATGGTGTCGGAATCTCTTCCAATTCCAAAATTCTAAGGTGTGATCAGGATGAGTGAAGTGCTCAGAACTGTTGGCAGGGGAAACAGAATTCGTTTTCATGTACGAGTGAGAGCAAGGATGCACTGTCAAACAAACAAGGGGAATCAG